TGTCCATGTTAACTTGTCCATAAGCCTGTGGTTTCTTGTCATCTCTGAACAGAAAATGTCTATAGGGCTTGCGCCATGTGAATGTTACAGGTTGACGTTCTTCGGGTGCGGAAACGCTAAAAGGTGGAGAGCAGTTAGGTGTTTCTGGCATTTCAACAGTTAACCTCATCCGCTTTGGACGGTAACCAGAAGGACCGGGAACAGCAGGTTCCAGAGAAGTGACTGAGGAAGCATTGTCACTTCCTGAATTTTGGTCATTCAGTGGTGGTTCAATAATTACGTCTGTTCCAATCTCGTCAGCAGCACCTTCCAAAAATGCTTGATCTTCTGTATCAAGTACCAAGTTAGTCTCATCCCCGCTGTCACCTGCATTCAAATATTGAATAATTTCGTCATCATCAATGTGGAAATGTCGCGCCATATCGAAATCTGAAGTAGAACGGATGAATCAAGCATGAATGTCCAATCAATCTTGTCCTATATAAATCCACACTTGCAGCACACTGGGACAAATGTGTCCTTTCACGATTATCATGTAATGTCAAATCCATTTACACATATATGTTAAAACTTTACACAAATGAATTCATAAATCCAAGCGAAAAAAGATCATAAGTAAATGTTGTATTCAAAAAATCTCGTTGAAATGACTAGCAGCACACGACGAAATGCAAGCACTTTCCGATCGTTACAAAATGATGGTTTAAAGCACAAAAACAATATAACTGACCGTTTCCGGTGTCCTATGACCAGTTGGGCTTGTTTCAAATCATTTTGCCATCATTCTGTGTGTAAATAAAATACGGGCGCGTAGTTTAATGTGTCGGACATATTTGTCCCGTATGCCTTAAAGGTTTAATGAACAATCGTGACGATCTATATCACTTTCTTGCCCCTCGTCATTCGGACATACTGGGAGGGGGAGAAACCTGGTTAAATCCCACGGTAATTACCCAGTAATTCCAGATCAGTGACCAATCGTGCTTCCGGTGCGACAGATTATCAAAAAGTGGGGAGGCGTGCTGCTATACATTCGGTCCTCACTATGCGAGACTGAGACTGGGAAACGCACACCGAAGCGAAGATTGCCTGTGCGAGCAACTATGGTGCTTCATCCTCCTGAGACAGGGTGAACTGTTTGTGGGTACAGCTTATCGCAGCCCGCGAAGTCAATATCTGGATTGGTTGCTGCATGTCAAAAGCTACATCAGTTGGCCCCGCTTTCTGCTGATAGACAATTTAAACTTCCCTCGAATACTGTGGCCTGACGCACAACTTCTCCCCAGGCACGGTGAAATGGAGGCGCGATTTGCGGAGAGGATATTTGAGACTGGGATATCGTCATTCGCCTGTTCGCTTCCATGATAAGACAGGTGCTTGGTTATGGCTCACTAGCCAACTGCCCGATCACAGTAGGTGCGGTGCAGAGACTGGAACGAGTCCAAGATGTAGCTACCCGGCTCATCCCCAGTTTACGGGGTATGTCCTACGAGGTCCGATGTAGGAGACTAGGGCTGTATACTCTGTCATATCGTCGGCTTCGAGTTGATTTCATTGTGACGCACCGGATACTACACCTGGGCCACTTCCTTATGTTGAAGCCGCTGCTGCAAGTTCATGTAACAGGCAGCACACGCGGATACTGGTAGAAACTAGTGGTACCGGGTTTAAAGTATATCATTCACCTTATAGCACCCGAGCTCCTAGTGGTAAAATATTGGAACAAGTTGCCTGAGACAAAAGTCGAAGCGAAATCCGTGTCGGAAGTTAAGAGATTCCTCGACGTCCACCTTGCGGAATACAGGTTTAGGGGATGTATCGCATCCGGATAAGCCGTAGCGCAGCTGCAATATGATGCCACCGCGAAGGAATCAGCGACATGATTCCGTGTAGGTGCCGGAGTTAACTAAGATGGAACAACACAAATCTATATGTTCTCGCTGTCTAATTGCAGTGTTCAGCATTTATCATCGCCATCATCAACATTACATCAACCATTTGAAGTGATGTCTTGCTGCCATACAACCATAACAACCAACAATACGAACAATTATAAGAGAGATGGGTTACCGGAAGACCTTAATGCCTTAAGCAAAGATTCACGGTCAAGGCACCTACACCTTGTGTCGACACCACACCGTCACAAAAAGCTAGCTACCGTGCAAAGATAAGGTCATAAATGTCGCAGATTCAAGAGGACGATTCTGGCTTTTTTAATACGTGAACTGACTTCAGTGGTGATGCGCCCTTGTTTCTGCTATCAAGGAAAGTGAATTGAGCAACTACCTCGAGTTCTTCGCTATCTAGGGTCAAGAGATCATCAAGATGCTGGTGGTACTGCAACAACACTGCACTTCGAAGGTGCGAAGCGCATGCTAAATAATGGGACCACTCTAAAGAGACATTCAGGATTACACCGCCCCAACATCCTTAAATAGTAAGACAATATCGTCGGTATAGTCAAAATCCATTGCAATAACGCTGGACCTTACCATGGTGCGATGGTTGGCGTGCTTCAGAGATCCATTGAGTGATGCTTTTTTGCACCTTCAGAGTCACTCATACCAGATTAGTCAATGGCTAGAGGCCAGATAAACTCAGCCTCCTGGTCCCCCAGGTTGGAGGTTGGAATGAGGGTGGCTCCTTATTCCTTAAAACAGACTCCTTGTAGCCCAACGCCAAACCCGCTGCCTTGCAGTCAGGTTTTTGAATCAAAAGCTTTGGTTGAGAATCCTAATCGTTCTCCCGTCTAGGCCTGGGCAACCGGACAGTATCCTGCCCACGCAATACAATGAATTTCACTTCAAACAAATGTATGATGCTCTGGCCACCGCAGAGGATAATCAACGGTGCCCTATCTGTTGCATCGAACAGCGCGGATAGGGGTTTGGATGCTACTGCTCAAGCCTTCCCATCTTCCTATTCCCCTTCTTGCGCTTTTTCACCCTTAACGTCCCGTTCCAGCTTCACTTTTATCCCCCCCTGTTTTCAACTCCCAATTCTTGGCCCTCCCCCACCTTGCTTCAATAGACGCGTGTCTTTCAGTTTCAACTCACATGTGCTGCCCTGTTGACAAGCCCATGTCCAAGCAAGCGGTCAAGCCCAGTTCATCGGCTTCCACTTGGGAAAGACGATGAACACGTTCGGCTGGATACACTTGCTGTTATGGCTAGGAGCCGACCTCAGTGGCGTTCGTGCTGTGAGTTTCTTTGTCCCACCCCCTCCCTCTTAGTCTCTCCTTCCAACTACGATCTCACTATTTAGTCTTATATAATTTTGCATAGTAAATATTTTTTGCTGCATAGTAGCCGGCTCGTAGCTTATCGGAACGAGGCCCATCTGTTACCGGTAGCTCAGCTGACTTGCAGCTGCTGCTTTTTTTTCTTTTATGTATTGTGGCACAGTAGCTGAGGTGTTTCCCACCTCTAGCTAACGTGTATAATGATGATAATGATGACAGTCAGGATCAACTAGCCTTTCATCAGGTCTGCATCGTGGGACTCCACAAGGGAACACTCCATGATGGAGTTCACGACGAAATTGAACAAAAATGGGGAATTGGACAACCTTGATGTACGCCACTTCTTGTCAAAAGGCTATCCAACAGGTCACCGTAGCACGTGAGGTAGCCTGTAGTGTTCGAGTATAGAGTATATGTTCACATATTTCGTAGGAACACATTTCCATACAAGTATTTCGAACGGAATGCATCGATCGACTGAATCAAACACACACTTGAAATCGAGGAACGCAGCTATTGTCAGTCTGTAGTACATGTGGCGCCGATCTAGTACCTGCAGCAGAGCAAATATATGGTATATACAGCCCTGACTGATGCAGACTGCGCGACAGCTGACGTTTAGCAGAGTAAAGTTACGATGAAATGCACTACGTTACGTTGTTAGTGGTCAGGGTTGCACAGTGTCACTCTCGCTACTATGAACAGCAAGTCAAATAAGCCAAGATAGGTAACAGTTACATCTGCCCACCACCCCCACCCCATCTGAGCGCCGGGCACCATAAACTTCTAGTCAGCGAAAAGGGATAGCGAACAGAGTGATGAGACGCCTGGCTGCGGGGGGCCTTTCCACCGGCCGTTACCGTTTCACTGGAACATCGCTATTACGGATCTATCAGTTTGCACGGAGACTTTGACATTTGATTCAGTTAGACTAGTCACAAGGTCACTAAGGCTTACCTCCACAAAGGTTTGGAAATTGGCTTTGAGATACTGCGCGTAGTGCGAGAAATTGAGAAGGGGTTTTTTAACTTAAGAAATCCTTGTCTGGATAGATAAACTGGGCTTCGACACCGTACCGCCGACAGGATGTAGACGCGGAACCGTTTATTCGAGTGGTACTTGTAGTCCATTCTCACCAGTTGTAAAACGCTGCATTTTTATGGTGTTGTTATAAAACAACCGCAGTGACTTAGGGGTACCGGTCACGATTTATCTCCCAATGGTCCCGCGGGCTCGAGGTCAGCTATCGCCATCAGATGAGAGCAAACAAGCTCGAAACGCGTAATGGTGTGCGGAGTTTTCGGACGGGCAACACTCAATTACCATCCGCGGTTTAAATTGTAAAATGCTAAAAGTGTACCCACTCGGGTACGTAAAGCTTATAGTGACTTGAGTTGAATCACATTGCCATCTCTATGAATTCGAGAAGAAACTATTTATTTATCTGGAGAATATCGGCCAAAAAAGCTAGACATATGTAGATGAGTTTATCCTACACTATCAGCCTGACTTTCTTTTGATGAAAACTGCACGAATTTTCTGGTCTCACAGATGCTGCACCAAGCTCGATGGTTTCTTTTAGTTTAACGTTCATTTTTCAACCGCTGTAAGCTGTTATCACCCCAGTGAGGCCAACCACGGCTTCCGCATTCATCGCAACGCTTAGTTCACTGAGCTAATACCAAAGAGGCCAGCGATGAGCTGAACTGCAAAGATCCAGAGCTTCACTGAGGCACAAATTGTCGCACAAACTACTCACCTGTAAGTGTCCCAAAACGTCCCACAGTTCTTCCAAAGTGGCCACATTGTTCGACGCAGCTGCAGCGCATGCAAGCGCTGGAGCCAACCGACGAGCCCACATCATACCGCGCCCTTCCGTATCGTCCACGTTGGCTTGAGAGAATAGATCAGCGAAATAGTGAATAAGACCTCGTTCGCCATGAACACCAGTGAACTGCGTGTTGAATAACTTCGCTGTCTGCGCATCCTCGCCTTCCACAGTGACTTCACCACGCAGACTTCGCATCAGCATGGCACGCTTTGTGTCTGGGTCCGCGAATTCGGTCTTTCCTAACACATACGCCAACTTGGTCAGAGCAGCTTCGGTGGTCATATCCTAGGGAAAGCAGATAAATGAGGAGTACGTATTAAGTTTTGCAAAGTGCCTGTATAACATGTGGCCTGTTAACGCAAGCGAGTTCCATCGAACAAATAGTGTCCATTTGTTATGAGATAACTCGATAGTTAACGAAAAGAGTAAAGCAATCCACAAGGGACACAAACGAAAAATACTGCCGTTGGATCCTAAATAATTCATACGAGAAGAAAGGGTGTGGTTTTGCGAACATAGAGGCAACATAAGAAGACATGGTTGGACGCAACCGTCGGTATAACATTAGATTCGGTGCAAGAAGAATTCCGGATGTCAGTGACAGGCCGCAATGCAAGGTACGAGGGAGATAAGTAGGAGAAAGTGCAGTACAGCTGTTCCATAAATGGTAAGACATAGCTGCTAAACCGGATAGAACGATTAATTTTCAGTTTTGGAGAGCCCAGGACGAACACACTGTTCGTCTTAAGCAGTTCCTGACAAACGCCAAGGACTGCGCGCTGACCGTTCTCCGAAACGTCCATATTGCGCTCAGCCGTTAAAACCAGGAAGCCATTATAATCAGAGAGCACAGGACAGTAGAGGATATATGTTTCACCCACAGGATGGTTCTTCCCGATGTTACAGGTAAGCAACGCTTAATGTTGCTTCGCAAACGTCTAGCTTTTTCGATAAGCCGGTTACCCATGAAGTGAAGCGTCACATGGCAAAAACACATTCCGACCCGATTTGTGATTACCGACTCACTTTAGGCGACTGACTGACTATGCAAAGACCAGGTATTTCAGCTTTAGTGACAAGTTGAGGGTCCAACTTGAAGATAAGTGCTGAGCACCATCAAAGGTGTTTTAAGACAAGAATAGTGGTTCGGTGAACCACTCAACAACCAAGCACCCAACTCGGGTTAACAGTGTTTCAAAGTATTTCGAATGGCGCGTTCCAGTTGAAAAAGATGGAGGGGCGAATGTGACTATCTGTTAGAGAACCCAGGGGATAAAAGTTGTCCCCACAGCGCATACACAGCTGTCACCTTTGACATCCCCACTGAGTTGGCAACAACTCGATGGCGGAAGTGGAGAGTAAGAACACGAAGAAAGGTGCGGGTGCAGAATTTGTCGGGAATAGGAATCCGTTATCCCTCGCTTTGCATTGGCAACAGCGCAAGTTCTCCTCGTCTGCGTATATCGGCTGAAAAAGAAAAATGTTAACCTACCCTGCCGACGTGTAGAGTTCACTCAATACTAGTGCGTTAACTGATCTATCACCATATCTCATCGATTGCACATGGCATTTTTCGAAGGACAATTTTCATCGAAAGCCTAACCGTTTGAAAATTCTCTTACATCTGGATGCCAATCGACACAACATAACTACCCGATCAGTTGAACCCAAAGTGTTACGGAGCTACTCATACGTTGTGCCGTCAGCGGCAAGCAGGTATGCTGAATACTGAATATTGTCGTGTGGAAGCAAGTAGAAATTTTAATCGGTACAACTCCATCGAAAGAGGATCGAAAACGTTTAAAAAGCGAACTGTGGTTTGTCAATACACTGACCGTTTTTTATGTTCGCACGTGATACGGTTAAAAAATTGTTTAACTCACTGTGGATTAGGATTCAAAAAGGTGAGATGCCTGTGGGTAATCGTTCTCGGAATCTAACATTTCAGAAACGCGCATCCAACGATCGTTTGAACTGATCCACTGAGTTCGCTTCCAGCATCTATTCCGGCAAGTCGTTATAGACATTTACCACTCGCCGTTCCAAGCACAAGGGATACGGGAACTCGTTTCAGACTAGCGTCCGTGTGTGATGCAAGGTGTTTACAAGGGCGATACCCATATGTGAACTGTTGGACACAAGAGCTATATCGTCTGATGCACAGAGAACGCGGGACTGAAGGAGTTTCATGCACGGACGATAGAAACGCTTACGGCAGTCTTGGCGATGTAGAGTTGTCCGATTACATAATTGCAAACGGTGATGATGACTGATAAAAGCTGATGCTGATTTGTTTGGGGTCGCAGTACTTTCACGTTCAGCATTGCAGGCGGATGCAGGTAGGATGGATGATAACGTTGCCTTTGGCTGCGTGGCCCATCCTCATTGAGAATCTTCTCCCGGCTATTCGAATCGAAACCAATGAAGATCTGCTATGGGTCCGGGTTTTTACTCAAAACGATTCTGAAAACTTCCATGCAACACTTTCTTTCCCTCGAGCTGTGCATATGCAAGTTTGTCGGTCGACGGTGAGAGGTCCAACTCTAACCCAATGGTATTTCGGACAAACAGTCTTACGTCATCAGGCAAAAGTTTTCATGAAATCGAAAGGTTGCTTTCCACAAACTTAGTATGAATTAAAAGTGTGTAATTTCACGTCTTCTCCCTTGCTGGATTACACTGCTTCTACTTTATCTTCGAAGACCATCACTAGAAAGCCAAAATCACTTGGACAGACATGAAAATGTGGCCCATATGGCATCTATGAAACGAAGCATGGTGAAATCCTGCAATCCATCGCAATGAAGCTTGATCTTACCGTGGTGCGATGATTGGCGTTCTTCAGTGGTCCATTGAGCTATGCTGGGTGGTGCTTTCTTGCACCTTCAGATTCACTCATACCAGGTCGGTCAATAGTTAGAGGCCAGACAAACTCAGCCTCCTGGTCCTCCAGGTTGGGGGTTGGAATGAGGGTGACTCCTTATTCCTTAAAACGGACAACTTGTCGTCCACTGCCAAACCCGCGCTGCCTTGCGTTCAGGTTTAGAATCAAAGGTTTTGATTGAGAACCGTAATCGTTCTCCTGTCCAGGCCTGGATATCCTGACAGTATCCTGCCCATGCAATCCTATGAATCTTTCATCAAACAAGTTCCTGATGCTCTGGCCACTGCAGAGGATAATCAACTGTGCCCTATCTGCTGCATCGAGCAGGGTGGATAGGTGTTTGGATGCTATTGCTCAAGCCTTCCCATCTTCTTATCCCCCCGTTTGCGCTTTTAACCCTTATCATCCCGTTCCAACTTCACTTCCCCCGTTTACAACTCCCAATGCTTGGCTCTACACTATCTTGCTTAAATAGGTGTTTATCTTCCAGGTTCTACTCACGTGCAAACGCGGAATGTCACACCTGCCCTATCAACAAGCCCATGTCTAACCAAGTGATGAGGCCAAATTTATCGGTTCGTATTTAAATTCCTCATCGATCCTCCCTCAGATTGACATGTCTCAACGTACGCACATGGTTACAGATCGGTTAACATGCAGCACTTGCTCGAACATTAGAGACCCTCCCGATCGACATCTGCTGCCCATCGAGCTCTGTTCTCATTCTGCAATCACTTTCAGGTGAACTAGCTGTGCTTTCACATTGCGCCTATCTGGAAACAATGAACCTTCCAGTACCGGCCAAACCGGTGTTGGTATTGCCCTGAGTACCCGGGCTGAAACCGCTCTGGTTGATTGGATCCCAAATAGCAGCCGCATGTGTGCAATCCGATTGGTTGGCTCGTTTAAAGCTTCGAAGTCACGCGGGACTAATACGTGTTTACTCGTCATCACTGCTTACGCCCCCACAAACTATAGTGATGATTCGGTAAAAGACGACTTCTAAACGAGCTTCTTCGCCACAGAAATAGCCTGGACACTAGTGCAGGCTGGGGATCTGAACGCCCAAGTTGGAAAATAATCCACTGATGAGCTGCATCTGGACGGCCAACATGGTGTAGGCTCCCGTAATATTAACGGTGAGCGGTTACTTCATTTGTGTGAAGATGCTCGCTTGCTTGGTTTGCTTGTAGCACCCGAACCACCAGCGGATTCTCCAAGTTCAACTTTGAAGATGCTCGCTTATTTCTTGCGAGCACTAATTTCCGACACAGCACCCGCCGAAGGGTGACTTGGCGCCCACCAGTCTCAAACAAGCCATGGACGCAAATCGATCACATCACAACCACTTACCGATGGAGAGGCCGCGTCTAAAACTGCCACTCGATTCGGAGCATATGTGTGGAAAAGGACCATGCAGTTGTATGTGCTGAACTGCGGTAGCGTTTTGGCGGACGCCCACGACGACACTGTGAGCGTATTGACACCAGCCAACAGGCAAAACCAGCTGTTCTGAATGCCTATCAAAATACGCTGTCATGCGAGTTGAGTAAGCGCTCACTGGAGACAATTGAAGCTCACTGGTCTCATATTCACCAGACCTTACTAGCAGCAGGAAAATCCTCATGTTGTGTCTAATCACCAACATGGACATTGGGTCTCTTCGCAGGCTATGGAACTTTTCGATGCACGCCGACACATACGGGCTGGAAGTGAACGCAAGAAGCAAAAACCTCCGGGCAAAACTCCGTGCTAGCCTGATGAGAGAGCGCGAATCCTGGTGGTCTCATCGTGCGTCGGAGATGGAAGTGGCTGCTACCCTTGGTAACCATCGGAGGTTGTTCCGTCTGATACGGGAAACGGGCAACAGGAGACATGGTGTTAGTGAAACTATACGTGACGAGAGTGGAAAGACTATCCACCACTTTTCAAAACGTTTGGAGCGTTGAGTTGAATATTTTGAAAAACAATTTAATCGACCGGAATTGTTAGACTCGTTTGGATCCGCCCTCTCGCTCAACAGTCGAACATGAGATCAGACTATTGAATTTTAATAAAGCCGCGGGGTCAGATGATCTTCCACCAACCCTTTTCAAATTCGGCGGCACTGCTCGTATTGATGATTTACACGAATTATTAGTGAGACTGCCTAACCGACTGGAGCCGCTTCGTTATTGTTCCGATGTTCAAAGCAGGCTCGCATTCGGAATGCGGCAACCGCAGAGGAATCAGTCTGATCTTCATCGCCTCCAAATTACTTGCTTCTGTAATCCTTCCCAAATTGAGTGGTGCTCGTGAAGGCCTGCATGGAGGAGTAAGTCGCGTTTCGTCGTGGTCTGGGATGCATCGACCATATATTCACATTCCGTCAGTTGTTGGAGCATCGTCACATATATTGGCGGGCCACGGTTGTCGTCCTCCTCGACCTCGAAGGGGCCTTCGATTCGGTGAATCGACGTGCACTTTGGGACGGTCTGCTGAGGAAGTATACTAATATTATCCGATCACTATACGTGCGTAACTCAGGCAGAGTGAGGGCTTACGGCAAGCTGCCCCGCCCTTCAATAACTCCAGCGGTGTAAGACAAGGATGCCCACTGTCACCTTTTCTCTTCAACTTCGCTATTGATGAAGTCATGGAAATAGCATTCGCTGGACACGAAATAGAAGGTGTGGAGTTGCTCCCAGGTGAAAGACTTCTTGACCTGGAGTATGCTAACGGTATTGTCCTCATCTGGGACAGATCCCAAACGTGCTAAGCGGTCCTGGACAGATTAGCATCGGCTGTGATCCGTTCCGGGTAATGCTTTGCAACCTTAAATTGCAAAACGTTCCTCAAAGACTGGCAGGGACCGCCTCCTTCGCAGACCCTTGGTGGGGCTCAGCTAGAAGTCGCTCAAAGTTCAACTATTTAGGTAGTTGTATCAGCGCCGTTGGAATTGAAGGCGAAGTCACAAACCGTATAGCAAAAGCACGAGGCGCTTTTGCTAACCTTCGCCATTTATGGCGCCGACGCGACATCACTCTCCTTGAAGAGTAGAGTGTACAATGCAGCCATACGTTCGACCCTACTGTACGGTTGTGAAACCTGGCTCCTTCGCAGTTGGGCTCATATCTGGTGGGAACACCGTGTGAACAATGAGCCTGTTTGACGCCTTGCTTATGGTGCAAAAAGAAGAAGCGAAGCGCTCAGCACCGTTATTTCACGCACCAGGCTCCGATGACTGGGTCACGTGTTGCGCATGTGCGGTTATTGTACATGAACACTAGTATACCCTTCTGGTTTTACTGTGCTTACGAACAGAGCGTAATACCGAATTCACTGAATACGAGTTCCACGTGCGTTCGCTGTGTGCTAGTACTTCCGCGTCGTTGCTAGCTCTGGGTTTGAACCTAATGCATTTCGATTACAGTCACTTCATAGAATACCACAATTGGCGTCGCAGCCAGTCATTTTGACTGATGGATCTATGCAACTTGGGTATTCTGAATGTCCCCTCCGGAACTCGCGAAATCGAAACTTGTCGTGAACGCTTTGAGATTTGGTGCACTCTTAAGACGTGGAAGCTGAAACGAAAAGCGCCCGGTTTCTTACTGCCGTTGGACAGAATGCTTATTCACTTTTGGAGAAGAGGAGGGGTAGTCAAGCGAGGACTTGGTCGAGAGAAATGAAGGCCCTTACTTTGTAGTTGGCTTCGGTTGGAACCCCACGGCCCTCTGGTTGGGGACCGAAGGACGATGAACGCGTTTGGCTGGATACACTCGTTGACATGGCTAGGAGCCGACCTCAGTGGCGTTCGTGATGTGAGTTTATGTGCCCTTCCCCCTCCAAGTTCGACTTCATTTATTAGGCATAACTTTTGCGGCATAATAGCTGACAGTTAGCTCTTCGGAACGCTGTCTATCCGTCATTAGTGACTCTGCCGGCGTCTCTGTTTCATTTTTTTGCTTTTGATATCGTGGTTGAGGTGTTTTCCATCTGCAGCCAACGTGTATACTGATGGAAGCTTGCCGGTTTGACTGGAGACACTTGTTGACATGGCTAGCAGCCGACATCAGTTCGTGTTGTGAGTTTCTATGTCCTTCCCCCTCACACTTAGCCTCCCCCTCCAACCACGAACTCAATTATTAGGCATAACCTTTTGCGGCAACATAACTGGCTCTTAGCTCTCCGGAACGATGTCTATCCGTTACTGGTGACTTAGCCGGCGTGTCTGTTTCATTTTTTCGCTTTTGATATTGTGGCTGTGGTGTTTTCCATCTGTAGCCAACGTGTATAATGATGGGAGCCTGCAATTTTTCACATTCGCCGCTTCACCTTCCGAGTGATGGTACCGAATATGTACAGAGGAATATGGACATCCAGAAAATATTCTACACTAGGAATGGGAAAGATTGACGAGGCTTGGCCGGTGTGTGGCACGAGATTGTATTTAATTATTATATACCGGTGTTTCTGATTCATTGAAGACGGAATGATATGACAGTTGTAAGATCAACATGCTTCATCGAACATAATTGAACCCGAATAAGTGGGATTAAGACAAGTGTGTAGCTGCAAGACGCGGAAGTGTGACGCTGTCGCTATCGAGAACGAGTGGCACTTTCTTCGCTCTCCCTATCCAATATTAACGACATCAGCATGTCTATTACACATCGCTTGCTCTCGGTAGTAAGATATTTTTAATTAGTTTCGAGGAAATGCGCTCCAAAGCCCAATGTTGCTCATACAATGAGCCATTAATTCACATGCCAAATGCTGGGAAACATGGGTAGTTAACTTTTCAATCATCAAAGCAGGCGTTATGTTCCACAGATGCTTAATCCACAAAGAGTAAATTAAAATCAAATAATGAACACATCTGCGTATAATTGTCTGATTATGATCTAGGAACACAGAAATTCCTCAAATTTACATTTTCAGCGCAGGTCACTTGTCGAAATTGAACTGTTCCGAATCCTTATCATTCCGTGGTATCATATGTGGGAATATACCTACGGATGACAGCAAATCTCCGTAAAACCTGCATAGATTATTCGGTAAACGCTTGTTTAATAAAGCGTCCAACTTGAGTCATTGGGAGCGTTGTCAGCAGCTTCATCTCGAACGTCTTCGGTTACGACGACTGAGATATAACTTGATGCTCCTGCACAATCTAGGAAATCAGAAGACTTAGTCCCACCAGTTCTCATGACCTCACTCGAAGGCATCTCAACAAGGTTTAAAGAAGCAGAACATCTATTCACCATAACCACATTTTCGTTAAATACGCTATCCTGTGGAATAGCTTACTAACCATTACAAAGTTTTGTGTAGACGTAAGAACTTTCTTCCTTAAACCTGAACATTTCCTGAACCAGAACGCAATATTGACCAAGTTTTATCAGTAGAATAATCAAGTGAATTCTTCCAGAATGGATTAAAAAGTATTTGTATTGCTAGTGGGAAATATGTGTTACACAAAACCGGCACCAAAAAGCGTGCATTACAAAATCTTTTGACCATACGTATACTATTAAATATGTATCTCCCGCCAAAGCACCATGATAGCTGTCCTTGTTACAAGGAATAGCTCCACGCACATCCATGAAATATAATAATAATGATAATAATAATAATAATAATAATAATAATAATAATAATAATAATAATAACTATCACAATTCAGAAGCGCCATCAAAGTGAGTTAGGCAACCACTTTTCTAACACAGAGAAGCTCCAGAAGGAGACGAACATTGATGGTGCGTATCTGCGATAAAAAACAAACAGCGAATCGCCGCACTTCCAAATTCGAAGCGCTTCGGGACCGCGCGGACAACCCCTTACCAAGACGATCAATTAGTTATTTTAGCAAGTAGTATATATCCTGACTGATTCTAGACAATACGAACATAGGGTATTCTTTTTCTACAATGTTCACGGTGAGGTCGTTAATATACAAAATAACTCCTTGTGCTAATGCGAATATCAAATTTTCCCGTTTTGGGTGGCAGAGATGCGTTCCTGAAATCTGGCAGCTGGGTAATATGCGAAGAGGTTGGGTGTGGAGAGGCTCAGATCAGAAGAACTAGAGAATCTGAAAAAGATTAACAAGGAGGTGGATGCGGAATATCCATCCGGGGTATTATGACACAAAATCAAAGCTCATCGCTGGAAAATAACTGAAGTACTTTTGGACACATGCCGGCTAAGGATAAAAGGTAAAGAATGGCTCACTGACATTGATTACGAACCTTAGAGTCGCCCTGTACTGCTCGGGTTTGAGAATGGCACTGTCTGATTTTGTGGTGGATTCGGAGAACACGTACGACTAGTGAAACATTGGGTTTCAGCAAGGCTCCTGTCTCCCCACTTCTCAATGTGGCTTGGGAAAGATATGCCGGAACGGCATATGCCACAAGTTTTCCGAGCAAGCCGCGTGGAACGTGCTCACACACTGTGAAGCCCAATATGACAACCATCGCATTTTAAGCCAAATATGGAGGCATTCTGTTCCTCATTTACTCTACTGTACTGAGCTGTTACGCTTCTATCCGATGAATCGAGCCGCATGTAAACTAGAGATGATGCAACGAAGTAGGTTTCCAATTAGACATCCTCCCACACACTCACGAAATCGCCAAACGGTTGGTTGGTAAAGTTGGAACTCGTCAGTGGCGCGCCTCCCTGGCCTAGTGATGGGATCCACTGGTTTAAGAGAGGTCTGGTATTAAGTTCTTGATGGAGTCGGAGGATGTGTACTACAGACGAGCCCGAACAGGATAAAACGGCCAGTTGATGCTCATGTGGAGATGTGTGAGTGGTTGCTAGCTGACCTCAACACCGGGACCCTGCATTACAGCTATCTTACATTAGCACTAAAAACGTGCTACTCAAATGTAATCAATAGTATATTCAGTTGTCCACGAAATGGTTACTCAGTCTCATATGCATCACTGAATCCCAGTTAGTAACACGGTGTGGTACACTGTCCACTCTTGTAGGTTGGTTTCCTAGGTATGATTGACCAAGCGATCAGAAGTGATACAATGAAGCACACCCCAAGTACAGCGGAGAAGAAGGTGGACCATTCGATCCCAGACGAAACCAATGAACGGGCACTTACATAGCCGGGGATAACGCCATATTCGTATAAAATTATGCCGGTGGAATAGATTGCTTTGACGCCACCGCGATAACACTGAGTCACGTTGATCATGAGAACACCTCGTTCGCTGGCCGACTTGAATATTTGGAGCAAATCCCTCCGGCTAGATGGCACATTTCCAGCACCGTAGGTTCGAATGACAGCTCCTGGAAGGGCGAAAGGCAATATTCGGGGATCAGTGAAGAACACAACTTAGCTGGTGAATGGTTCGGTCAAATGCAGATTAGCGCAGGTCGGTGTAGCAAAGAGGCGACCATGCTCCTTCCACTAAGCAGATTATTCAAACAAAGTAGTCGCTCCGTTAAATACATTAGAGAAAGTTGATGCAAGTGGCGGCTATGGTCGAGGTAGTGTTGAGTAATAGGTGAATTTTGATTCTGCGCGCAGCCGAACGGAATGAACTTAAGATGACATAAAAGCTCGTAACAATGGTGTGTGCTTCAAAATCCGTGTGATACATGCATGAAAACTCGAGAGTGGGATCTCACTGTTGCGAGATTGTCCAGAGGACAGCGGAAACTGTGCGTCCCCTATGGAGATCTCACGTGAGGTCTAGACTGAATATTCCCCATCGAAAACTGTGGGAGGAAGCCTCGATCAATCAGTAGGACTGCCGAGTTCCGCTGTTGTGTACAGTGTTAGTAAGCACAAGAAGGATAGCGTGAGACCACAATCGAGAGTGAGTCAGTTTGGTTGTCGGGTAAGAGGCCGGACAGAAGAGGACATTGAAATCAACTGATCTCCAAAATCCGACATATCGGATAAAAACGGCTCAGAATTCGGCATGGAAAAATAAAGGTTGAATGCATGCGAAGTACCGACAAAAGTGTTGATCGGAACTCAGTGAGGGTGATAACCTCGCATTGCGGAAAATGCCACATATGGATTAAAGAATCAAACGGATTCCGGAAAAGACCAGTTGAGCATTTTCGAGTTAAAATAACACTACACACGATAATCACAGTGACCTTTCTATAGTACCATTGAATCGGTTGGTCGGATTTTGTGTTCTATTGGGAATTCTTCTCACGATAATTAAGAGACTAACGGCTGGCTGTCTCCCCTTCAAATCACGCTAGTGAATGGAGTGATGACAAGCGACTCTCGCTTCCTTCCTTCCCCGCGTATCCCAGAGTGGTTCTTTTCCGTGACTGACTAGAAACGTGCGGTATGGTGTGGATGGTGTGTCATCCTTACGATTCGAACCATACTGTCACACACAAATAATGTTGAGCAGACTGACATAAAGCATGGCAGGTGGAGGCATGTGTTTCACACCTTCAAACTGCACAGGATTCTTACAGAACTGGATGTATTCGACGCCAGTCCTCGAAAACATCGATTACCGATGGTAAGTAGTGAATCATTTTGTCTACCTAAGGAATGAACTCGGGTAATCGAATCACGGAAGAGATCACTGCACTTAATGTTATGGGTTGTATAGCATCTCAAAGACACAGTCATCAATGCAGACGGCTGAATGCAGGTTTTTCGAGTAAATCAAGTTCACAATGCTCGATACGACCAGTGTTAATTAATGCACTGAAGGTGTTAAGGTGCAGATCAGATTTGACCGTCGGCACTCCGCGCTGGTGGGATAAACAAGTGAGTGACACGGAAGTTCGCCATGTGATGTCCGGTGACCGACCCTCACGAAAAGTGGCTGTGAAGCTCGAATCTCATCCGCTGTCTCAGTCATGTGCTGTGCATGCCTGTCAGCTGGCTGCCTTCACGGACATGATGAGTCGACAATGCGCCAAGTTACGCGCAAGCCAAACCAAAAACATCCGCAGCACATCGGCACACTGTGCCGACACTTCGCAGCCACGTGACCACGGCCGGCCGCGTGGGGGGGGGGGTTAGATACGCCGCCAGGTCGCACGCGCACCAACGCAGGTTCGAATCGAAGACCACAGTGGTTAACCACCAACCTTCCAGCTGAATGGATGACAAAGAAGTGTTTTTCATACAGTAGCTAGCGTGCAAACGCATTTAACGGATCCCTACAATGCAACCAGCCGTCTGAAGCATTAACTTTCCTTCCAATTATTGAGATCCTTATATGTTTGTTTTAACGGGCAATTTCTCCGGTTCAAGTTCAGTCTCCGGTCGTAATTTCTAAGTGTTAGCCGTCGGAAAACAGCGTATATGTTTATCAGGTTATGTACAAGCATACGCTCACATATCTTTTACAGCTGAATATTCACCCGTGCATAAAGCACTTGTTTGACTTCACTTGGTAGCCGTTAATTCACAAGAAACGTCCGTTCTTACCATTTGCATCCAATGCAGATGTGCCTCTCACACACACAGAGAGATATTCGTCTATGTTATGGACAAGTTCATCAGCTAAAACACAGAAGATTGATTGGAGGGTCATTTAGAAGTCCTCGTCGTGTGTGTGTGAATGGATCGCGACGCGCAATCTCAATGTAGACCGCGATCCCACTGTGACCGTAACTGCCGAAGCAGAGAGAAATTACATACGATGCCTACGATCTCTGATGAGATCATTCGTGGAGTTGAGTGCTTTCCAGCGATCAATACTCATTAACACACAAAGGGTTTGCCGGTCAGCGTCTTTATTTCCCGTTGCCAAGTTAACTGTTGCCCACCTAGGGTCTTGCACCACCGTACATCTCGCAGACAAAACCACAGTGAGGAGAGTGGGGGTGATTTTCGACGTTCGGCTAATCCGAGATCCGTCCGCCGACGATACTCAAGACAGGCCACGTTCACACAGCCCGCCGCACATTCGACAGATCCACCACATTCAAGTTGTTTAAGCAAATGGTGGGTTCGGCAATTTCCAACACCTCAAGTTAACCTTTGCAGTAGTGAACACAAACTAAGTTCATTTCACGCCCTGTGTCTAACGTGTGCATCGCCAACGCAGAACCTCTTACTAGAGCGCTGTATACAAGCTGGTTTCTCAGTGGCCATGATATGCACTGACGGTGCTCTGCTAACTTCGCGAGCGCATCTCTCAAGCGGTTTTGATTATGCACAAGTGTTCACAGTCCTTGCAGCCAACCTTGTAGACACAGTTGGTCGTCCTATCTGCAGTAATTGAGTCCCACAAATGCACCAAAGTCGGATGGAGCGTTTAACAGTGCCGGAAAATTACCCTTACTCTTTCCTTGTTTAATACACTCCGAATGGCCTCTGAGGTTCGCTCCTTATAGGGATTTAGTATATATTCCACCAATATATCTGTTGTAAACATCCTTAGTTGGGTTTCGACTGTCCTAATCGGAACGGACGAAGTCTTTCATTCGTTGGTTTCCATGCGCAGTAGTCTGGACAGCAGACGAGAACTCGCAACTGATAAGGTAGACGGAAAGCGTAAACCCCGCATAATTGTACCGAGACCCGAAGAAAGTAGATTGGTCAATAGTACAAGTGCGCCTACTGACTTAACCAAGGCAAATGTGCTTTCTACACTTTCATATTTCTAGTTCACAAAAACCACAGTAATTGTATATAAGGAAAGGCGGACGTCTGCTGGCACATCAGTCGCCATGTAGTGGTTCCATCTCCGGAGAGAGATTGGAAAGGTTCGATGCCATTTAGACGTTGGACACCTCACAGATGTTGGGTGTACTCAGTGAATAACGCATTGACATGAACACATATCAGAAAGCAGACTGTGACCTGAGAAGAGCTCGGGAGATAAGACAACAGCCTTTCCCGCAAACTTGCATAAAAGCTCCAAAATTTTCCAAAGAAGGAGCACAATTTTGCAAAGAAAGTCCAAAATGTTGCAAAACCCTGCGCGATTCGCCAGCCGCTCAGAGCCAATCCTCTGACCTTAAGTGTGTTCTCATTGGCCGGATGCCAAGGTTCGGTGCGTTAGTCTGGGGAGGTGAGCGCGCTGCCTGTTGACTGGGTGAGACTTGTGAATGAACCTTAGAGGAATGCACTTCGACGGTGCAACGGGCTTGTATGCGCCCCCTCACGTCCGAAACGGTGGATCACAATTGGTCTGAGAGCAATGAACAGCTGGAACATAAGCGCACGACCGAAACCATGTCTATGATACTAACGTCGTCGGCATGCCTTCTCGCGTTCGACAGAGTATCTCATCAGACATTCGTGACCGAGTTTTGGGCGCTTCGTCAACGGTGATGACTGGCAGCTGGTGGCAACTGTGAACAACGTCAAATATCAAACAGCCTACTCCTGGATTCGTCGTTCTCTTGATCAGGAGCCGAGTACTACGCAGCCGCGCGGTCGTCAGCGGATTCTGTCGGAGGAAGACGTAGATGACATCCTGGATTGGATCGCAAGGGACTCAACTCTTACGCTACGGGAAATGCGAGTACGAGTACGAGCAGAAATGGACAAGGACATTTCGAAGTCAACAATCGCACAACACCTAGATGGTCGATTGATAACTATGAAGAACATCTATCAGGTTCCCGAGGGAATGAACAATGAGCGAAACAAAGGGATACGCAGGGAATTCGTTCAGCAGTTTCTCCAACTTGAGAGCGATGGCAAGTTCTTCATTTGGATTGACGAAGCGAACTTCAACGTTTACTGCAAACGTACTCGTGGTCGGGCGCCCAGAGAAGTGAGGGCCTGTTGCAAAGTTGCCAACAGCAGAGGGCACAATTTGCATTTAATCGGTGCACTCACGATGGAAGGGAAAGTGTCGATGACCACCCGGAGAGGCTCATTCACAGGTCCCCTATCTCTCGAATGGCTGCGAAGCTATTTAGACAACCTGAAACGGGAGATGGAGCTCCGGCAGGTTGTCGAGGTATGTGATAATGCATCACGTCACACACGACTGGTAGAACTGGCGTCAGTAGATGGATACGAGGGAGTAACCATACTGAGATTGAGCCCATCCTCTCCGATCCTCAATCAAATCGAGGATGTTTGGCACGTGGTGAAGGCCAGAGTGAAGAATGAGATGAGAGTGCACTACGAGGAAATTCTGGCAGGGGATCCGTAGAAATTCATGAAGCAGATGCAATGGAGGCTGCAGTTCCTTGCACGAATTGCCGGAGCAGCCACCAAGCTTATCAGCGTTGTGGCATGTCGTAATGCTATTCGATATATGCGTGTACATTCTCCAATTTGCCTAGATAAAAATGCCATGTTTGGAACATTTTGCTGGCCTAATTTTTACGCATCTGGTTGTATAGCACGTCACTGGCAGCGCGTAGGAACGTGTGAGTATTCACAGTGTTTGCAAAATATGTATGCACATACGTAAGTTTGTGTGTTCGTACGGGGGTTGAGGCAACATCTGATGTCCAGCGCAAGCGAGTGACACGAGACCGGCTTCCAGTGAGCCATGCCCGAGTGATTCGTTCAACCCACGGTGCTTTTCGTGCTGGTATTTACTGCGCCCTACTGTTTCATGATCAGCCTGAGATAATGAAGATACAGTTCCTTTGTTCAGAAAACTAGGATGTTTGGAAAGTGCATTGTAGGAGTAAGTGAGTTTGCCAGGTGAAGCAACAGTCAGATATATCAGAGTATGGGATGTCAACGTGGATAGTTGAATAGTAGTGAATAGAAAATTACTGCGCACGTCATGTCAGCCTTTTCCAAGTGTGAGAGGAACTGATAGATGCGCAGATGCGAGATCGCAAACGCATCCATTTTCAAACAGGATGTCGTCATTAAAGATGAAAGAATGAATCGCGTGCTTAATGGAAACCGTATCTGTGCGATATTTGTCCACTGCATTTGAGTGCACTAGTGCGATACTTCGTTCCCCTATTGGAAGTTGGTCTGCCAAGTTCGGAACCCATATCAGCCGGTTCGGAAGCTGCAATTTAGCTTCAACTGCAACCACACCCACATTAAGCCCAATTTAATTTGCATGTCAGAAAGGTCCGAATAGCTGTCCAGTACGACAGAGATACTGTCTTGATTGTTTGAATGATCCTCGTTGGACCCAATAGCGGGCATAAACGACTGGGCGTGTAGTTGGCGTAGATACAATGGCGTAGCAGCTACTTTTGCTGTCCGTGACTGAGGTAAAATTGCGGCTGCTTTCGCAGCCCACAGTTGAAATAGCCACTCAATATTTCGTTTCACATAACAACACAAATTTAATTTTTGAATGCTGTCATGAATGCAGCTATGTGGATTGTTAAAATACTCGTGTTCAAACTTTACAGGCACACTTTTCGTGCACTATTTGAAGACGCTGACATCCGAGCTGAATAAGCGCTCATCGAACGCAAATAAACATCACTGGTGGAAAATCCGGCAGATTTTGTTAGCAGCAGGTTTGTCTTAATGTGGCAAATCAAATTGCCAAGCTACGCAGTCTCAGGAACTTATAGATGCTCGCCAACATGTTCCGGCTGATAGCGAACACACGGCGACTTGCAAAGTTTTCAGCGCGCTACTGCTTGCCAACTTGCAAAGAGACCTGGAAGCCTGGTGGCCGAGTGTTCTGCACGGCTGGCTTGCAATCATAAGGTTACCGGTACGTATTTATTTTCCTGGCCTGTTTTGTCATCCTGGATGTCTTCTCGGTGCTCACCCAGTGTCTGAAACCGCCGTCCGTCGAAAAAATTGGCTATCCCGTTGACTAAGTGTTACACTGAGCCAATATCGTGGACAGGATGATCAAGTGTCACGATAACTGATCATCGCTTGAATCCTGGTGCCATTTGGGACAAATGTCATTGCCTGTCATGGAACTGCGAAATACTGCCAAGCAGCCTGATTATGTACGACACATATATCTTTCAACAGGACTTGGGTGCGCAAGAATCCGTTACTTTAACCTTTAAAGCACGTCGAAATGATTCTACGTTGTTAACCGTGGTACTGATAGAACATCAGATACAGACAAGCGGAATTTTAAAAGCATTACTACTATCTATTTGAGCTCAGAAAATCTAGCTTACGAAACCGCAAATTGCTCACAATTAGGGTTTTCAGACTGCAGCCATGCGAACATCAGAACGCTATAAACTACCCACTCTGAAGATATCTTCGACGCACAATGATACGTAAATAACACTACTGCCGTTCACATTCACTATGTAGTGTATTCCCTAGCTCGCACCCCTGATCCTTGGGTTCACTGTGAATGTTGTTGCATTTACATGAGTATTGACAATTGTCTACACTGCACACAGGACCCAGTGTCTCCATTAGCGACGTGTAAAGTTTGGTCATTATTTCGGTTGCAACAGCTGACCGTAGTTTAACCCGGCCAACGGTGAACAAGTTGACTGTGTTACTCTGGTCTGGTTCAACGTGGGGGGATTTAACTACAATACTGCAACCTGGAACGTTAATTCGATCAGCATCATTACTGCGGTTGCAACATTTGAACTCAGCTTAGCAAAGCCAGCGGTGAACAAGCTGACTGAGTGTTAGTCTGGACTGGCTCAACGTCGTTCACCTTACTTCGTGTCAGGTCGCAATACGGCCCCAATTTCATTTACCTAGTCCAACCTTCCCTTGAAAATCATTCTAACCAGTCTTAGTCCTCGCGATTCGCATGAGTGCATTTGTCAAGGGACTGGGAAGAGGGACATACATGGGGGTCGCACACAGAATGTGCCACATATTACAAACCGGAATGTCCTAGAGGCCAACGGTATCTGAGCGATGTGACTTGCCGATTTTGACAGACCAACTTCCAATCGGGTAACGAATTAACGCGCCAGTGCACTCAAATACAACGGACAAACATCGCACAGAGACGGTTTCCATTAGACACGCGAATCATTCGTTCAGCTTCAATGACGACATCTTGTCTGGCAATGGACGCGTTTGCGAACTCGCATCTGTGCATATATCAGTTCCTCTCACTCTTGGAAAAGGCTGACATGACGTGCGTAGTAATTTCTTATTCACTACTGTTCAACTATCAACGCTGATATCCCATACTGTGATATATCTGACGGTTGCTTCACCCGACAAGCTCACTTGGTCCTACAATGTGCTTTCCAAACATCCTAGTTTTCCGAACAAAGAAACTGTGTCTACATTATCTCAGACTGATCATGAAAGAGTACGGCGCAGCGAATACCGGCACGAAAAGGACCATAAGTTGAACATATCACTCGGGCATGGCTCAATGGAAGCCGGTCCCATGTCACTCCCTTGCGCTAGACATTAGATATCGCTTCAACCCCTTACGAACACACAAACTTACGTATATGCAAACATATTTTGAAAACACTGGGAATACTCACACGTCCCTACGTGCTGCCAGTGACTTTCTATATACTCAGATACGTAAAAATTAGGCCAGCAACGTGATCAAAGCATGTCATCTTTTCTAGACAATTAGGAAAATGTACACGCACATGTCGAATAGCATTACGACATCCCACAACGCTGATATCCTTGGTGGCTGCTTCGGCAATGCGTTCAAGGAACTGCAGCCTCCATTCCATCTGCGTCATGAATTTCTGGGGATCCCCGGCCAGAAGTTCCTCGTAGTGCACTCTCATCTCATTCTTCACTCTGGCCTTCACCACCTGCCAAACATTCTCGATCGGATTGAGGAACGGAGAGTATGGGCTCAATCTCAGTATGGTTACTCCATCGGACCCATCTACTGACGACAGTTCTTCCAGTCGTGTGTGACATGGTGTATTATCACATACCACGACAACCTTCCGGAGCTCCATTTCCCGTTACAGGTTGTCTAAATAGCTTCGCAGCCATTCGAGATATAGGGGGACCTGTGAATGAGCCTCTCCGGGTGGTCATCGACGCTTTCCCTTCCATCATGAGTGCACTGATTAAATGCAAATTGTGCCCTCTGCTGTTTGCAACTTTGCAACAGGCCCTCACTCCTCTGGGCGCCCGACCACGAGTACGTTTGTAGTAAACGTTGAAGTTCGCTTCGTCAACCCAAATGAAGAACTTGCCATCGCTCTCAAGTTGGAGAAACTGCTGAACGAATTCCCTGCGTATTCCTTTGGTTCGCTCATTGTTCATTCCCTCGGGAACCTGATAGATGTTCTTCATATTTATAAATCGACCATCTAGGTGCCGTGCGATTGTTGACTTCGAAATGTCCTTGTCCATTTCTGTTCGTACTCGTACTCGCATTTCCCGTAGCGTAAGAGTTGAGCTCCTTGCGATCCAATCCAGGATGTCATCTACGTCTTCTTCCGACAGAATCCGCTGACGACCGCGCGGCTGCGTAGTACTCGGCTCTTGATCAAGAGAACGACGAATCCAAGAGTGGGCTGTTTGATATTTGACATTGTTTACAGTTGCCACTAGCTGCCAGTCATCGCCACTGACGAAAGCGCCCAAAACTCGGTCACGAATGTCTGATGAGATACTCTGTCGAACGCGAGAAGTCATGTCCACGAGATTAGTATCATAAACGGGGTTTCGGTCGAGCGCTTATGTTCCAGTTGTTCATTGCTCTCAGACCAATTGTGATCCACCGTTTCGGACGTGAGGGGGCGCATACAAGCCCGTTGCACCGTCAAAGTGCATTCCTCTAAGGTTCATTCACAAGTCTCACCCAGTCAACAGGCAGCGCGCTCACTTCCCCAGACTAACGCCCGAACCTTGGCATCCGGCCATTGAGAACGCACTTAAGGTCAGAGGATTGGCTCTGAGCGGCTGGCGAATCGCGCAGGGTTTTTCAACATTTTGGCCTTTTTTTATAAAATTTTGGACATTTTATGCAACTTTGCGGGAAATGTTATAGTGCGATTTCTGTGGAAACTGTGCGGGATACGTTGGTCGTATCCTCATTGATGATAACTCTGTTGTTATCTGCGCAGAGGAGTGGACCCTTGGCGGCAATTTCCGTAGGGGAGTTCCGCTCTGAATTGAGTAGCTTGGGTCTCTGCATAGCGAAAGCGTTGTTCCGGCCTGATATTGCACTGTTGCCGGTGAAACCCGTGTGTTTTGCAGGCCTATGCCAGCCCAGTAACAATACCGATATACCAATTACTGCACAGCAGACTGGTGGAACACTACCGGTTACCTCTGGAGGATTACAAGGCGAATGCGTATTTTTCTCGGTCGCCGTCCGATGCGCCAAGTTGGGTGAAACCCGTAGGTGACTAGTCAATGTCACAGCAAAAGAGTATGAAGAAACTCATCAAAGTGCAAGACTGCACAGTGGTTATCGCCTAGCTTGGTGGGTCGTCTTCAAGATCAATCAGATCAGTGGGCAAACATGCAGCAAGATACAGGGAATACACAAGAAGTCAGTAGTGGCGTAGTTGTGCTGATTGCCTTGATGACTTTAACTGATGAGTTTTCCGGTCAGTGTAAATGAATGTAAATGTGTCTGAGAACACGTCCACTTCCAGTAACTGGATCTACAAGTTTATGATGCCATGAATCACAGAGGATCATTTGCACTTTCGGGAAAATACCAGTTATGAACTGCGAGATAGTGAATGTATATTCTATTTATCTAAATTCAAAACCAGCCTAAGGAGAAAGTTCTACCTTCTTAGGTATGGCTCTATATGGAATAAGCTGCCAAAACAGATTAAAAGTATTGCACATTTTCACATGTTCAAGAAGAAGGTTTATCTGTCAACGGACAGAGTGAAATGGATCTTAAAAATGCAACTTGATGATGAAAAGCTGTATGAAGAAGGGCCGGAGGATATCGACTCGAATGCACTAGAGAAAATATGATCATTTAGGATGAGCTGCTACAAACCGCTTCTGATGCTATTCTTTAATGCTACCTCCTATGCGATTTTACTCCTTCCAAACTCAGTCCATACCAACTGTCTTCTGTTTAAAACCGAGAGCAAAATTATTTACTGGTGTGGCGTTAGGAACTATTTTCGTAATTTTCCCCACAAACTGATTAATTCGTAATATTATTCTGTAATCCCCTTCGCTACATTTGTTCTGCAGTACTAATCATTTCCCCTTTTTTGGAGTTAACAGTCCAGAAACACCTACTTGGATTCAGTGATGGCAATAACTGATTCCCTATGCAACTTTTGCCTATGGACAACTCGTGCAGTTATCTGCCTCCGGCTGTCACGCCACACAATTTGATCGTATGATCGGCTCGATCCATTTTTACGCTGATGTAAAAAAACATACCTGCCTATTTTTTACATTAACGATATAGTACCTCTTTCACATAATTCTTTTTTCTACCTGCTTCCTTACTTCATTGTTGGCCACGACTGGGCTGATCTCCCGTGGTGACGGATCATAGCTTCCAGATTATAAAAGGATTTACCTATGCAAGGCATACTGCCACAAATTGACTGGCGTATAAAAAAGTGCCATAACTGAATGATCCGCATGACGGACTGCGCTGAGGGTTCACCGCTCATAATACATGCATAAAAGCAGCCCCAAAAAGAACAGAACATATGATAAACAGGTGATGGCTCACATGATACTATGCCACACGGGCACGCGGCCAGGTATAGCATGGAAGTGCAGACGAAATCTTTCGAGCGAATACCGTGCATGAAAGCAGGTCCCCTGGTAACGGTTCCACGAGTAGCCGTATTACTTTAACTGGACATCTGTTTAAATCTGCATTAGTTATTGTTCCTGGCTTTTTTTTTAATTTCTTTAATACCTTAATCCTACAAATTACTTTAATACCTGTTTTGAATCCAATGTAAAAAGCGTGAACAAACTGATTATTTTTTGCCATCCTGTTGTACACATTGATCAGACCACATAGTTGGACTGCACCTCGACTCACCGAGGAATATACCACTTATTTATTTAACTGAGTGCTCTTTCAGGAAAGATAGGGAATGTTGAAATGAAATTGCATACAAATTTAGCACACACCCATGGGTAGTACGTCGCACAAAATTGAGCAAACTCAAAAATAGATACGGAGTATAAGTGGCCAAGATTTAACAAACCTTTAGTAGGAGGTGCCAGAAAGGTCGCGACATGTTCGGCCGCAATCGATGGGAATATATTCAGCACAGTGACGTCACGGCACAAATCTGTTTGAATGCTGAAACGTTGTTGGACCGAGACCGGACGGAAAAGCAGATGGGGAAAAAAGGTCATTTCAGCACCGAATTTGGCCAAAGCCGGATAGTTTGGGGAAGCGAATGCGTGGAACTCATTGCTGGAACATTTAACCACCCGAGAACCACGAAACAGCTGTGTGAGCGAACATGGTTCAGATGGTAGGGGAAGAAATGCGCAGTGAGAGGAAGTTAGGAAAACGCAAGGTGCTATGGTTGTAAGTATCAAATGATAGTGAAGTAAAAAAGCTAAAAGTTTACAAACCAAAGTAAATAGAAAACGGATCGGCGAAGAGTCCAAGTCGGAAAGACCGTGAGTTGAAGGCAAATACCAGTTGACTAGCGTCTTTGTCATAATGAGAAGAGTGTACTTCTAATGACATGAGAAAGCCAGATCTGGTCTACCAGACAACTTCCTCATGTCTTTTGCATGGCTAGTGGGAATGACTAGTGACACAAAGAGTGGATTCAGTATTCCAATCCACAGTGCCACAAAAAGCAAATAATCGGGAAAGAAAAGTAAAAGCATAGAAACGACACAGTCCTATGTTTAGTGAACATGAAGAGACTTGAGCGTCACTCCAAACGATGGTGTAGACTAACTGACAAAGTATCCTGCTGGTAGCAGTTTCCATGGTAGGCCGTCAGTTGAATAGTTGACATGAATGAGGTTCCTGCAAGCTCAGCAGAAATAAAAGGCACAAGGATACAGTGGCCAGGGAGGGCACGGCTGTGCGCGATCAAATTTCACACATCGCAGTAATTGTCTCTCTTAGCTTCCACCCACATGATAACTGTGGCCTAGATAATGGTGGTTGATTATCAAGTCAGATGTATAGTGATTGACTTGCTACATTTTGTGTGCCCGATAAATATGTAAATATTATCCAAGCATTATATGCGCGTAGCACGGTCAGAGTAAAGGCTTACGGCGAGCTGTCGCCAGCCTTCAATATCTCCAGCGGTGTGAGACAAGGATGCCCGCTGTCACCTTTCCTATTCAACTTCGCTATTGACGAAGTCATGGAGATTGCATTTACAGGACATGACTTGGAAGGTGTGGAGCTACTCCCAGGAGAACGACTTCTTGACTTAGAGTATGCAGACGACATTGCCCTCATCTGTGACAGCTCCCAGACGTGTCAACCCGCGCTGGACAGATTAGCACTGGCTGTCAGTCGCTTCGGGCTTTGCTTTGCACCACCGAAGTGAAAGCGTTCCTCCAGGATTGGCAGGGTTCGCCCCCTGTGCTGATCCTTGGTGGGGATCAGCTAGAAGTCGTTCAGAAATTCAATTACCTGGGAAGTTGTATCAGCGCCCTTGGGATCAAAGACGAGATCACGAACCGTATAGCGAAAGCTCGAAGTGCTTTTGCTAACCTTCGCCACCTATCGCGTCGGCGCGACATCACTCTCGCTCTGAAGGGAAGAGTGTACAATGCAGCGGTACGTTCGACCTTACTGTACGGTTGCGAAACCTGGCCCCTAAGATCGGCGGATATGAAGAGGCTAGTTACGTTCGACCATCGGTGCCTTCGCAGTTTGGCTCACATCTGGTGGGAACACCGCGTGAGCAACGAGCGTGTTCGACGCCTTGTTTACGGCCTAGCAAAAGGGACTGAACCGCTCAGCACCATCATTTCACTCACCAGGCTCCGATGGCTGCGCATGCCAGCCCACCGACTCCCGCGACGTGCGTTGTTTGCTCACCGGGGATGTGGGTGGAAGAAGAGGAGAGGTGGCCAAGCGATGACTTGGTCCAGAGGAATGAAATCCCTCACTTCGGAGCTAGCCTCGATTGGAGCTTCACGGCTCCCTGGTTGGGGTCCAAAAGACGGTGAACACGTTTGACTGGATACACTTGCTGACATGGCAAGGAGCCGACCTCAGTGGCGTTACTGCTGTGAGTTTCTTTGTCCCTCCCCATCCCTTTAGCCTCCTCCTCCATCTACGATCTTATTTCGTAAGGTAAAACGTAATTAAATATTTGTTTTTGCCTAGTAGCCGGCTAGTAGCTTACCGGAACGATGCCTATCCGTTGCTGGTAGCTCAGCTGGCATGCAACTGTCGCATTTATTTTTCCTTTATGTATTGTATGTATGTATGTATTTCCTTTATGTATTGCGGTACACTAGCGGAGGTTTTTTACCACCTCTAGCTGACATGTATAATGATGATGATGATGCTACATTTTGTTAATACATACTTCGCTACCTCATTTTAATAGCTACCTGAATAATCTTTTGCTTACTTACACGCGGCTCAAACAAAAGGTGGGCATTTTCGTTAAATTTATTCGCGTCTGTTGCATGGGATTTTTGATCTCTTTCTCTGCCACCTTAAATTTATCGCGGATATGTTGATAACCCATTTACTTTGTATGGTAATTCTGTGAATAGTTAAGCCGGCATATCCGTAAGCTTTATTCGATTTATTTTATTTGACATTGTCTTTTCAAGTCATTGGCTGTTGCTTGATATCCCCGGTGTGGCTGTGCTTGACAAGGTGCCTACCTTTCTATTACCCACCATCTCGTCTATATTGGCTCTAGGAGACAGTTAGTCGCTGTTGAAGGGGACGGGGTGTACGGTCCCTTGGGGCGGTGTTACGCTCGAAGTGTGGTCCGTGCACTCAGTGTGGAGCGAACCACGATGCAACCACCGTTCTGTGTGCGCTTGTTTCCCAAATGCAGCGTGCTTATGTTTGCCTGTGAAGAAGTGTGGGCCGGCTCCGTTGATGAAACGTGGCTCCCATCCACATGCCTCCCGGTCTTATTCTTTCGGGTTTACACTGAATATGGGGTGTGTGGATGGAGCTGTGGGTGGTGTAGCGCAAGTCACCCATGGTCCCTAACTACGCACAGATATCCTGTGGCTGTCCCGATGGAGGCCACAGTGACACGGAAATCCGGAACCGGATGCCGCCAATCACACAGTGTCCAAAGACGACAAGGGAAGATTGCCCAAATATGGAGCGAACCTAGTTTGATGGAAAGCAATCACATTTGGCAACATAACCAGCAAAGTTTAGTCGTTTGGTCAAGAGTCAATCGAGCTCCGGAGTCAGTTAGAATCCATCGGTAAAATCGACACTGTCACATTCGATGGTCACAAAACCATGTATCAACTACAGCATTAAAGATATTTGCGTTGCAAACTGTTCTTTGATAGATTGGCCATTCATAACACCTGTGGAGTGTGAACGGATAGCAACACGCGATCGCAATTGGACGCAGGTGAGCGAGAGGACAAGGCATCTCTGCTATTATAAACTTCACACTAGACGCGATTTCGAAATTAGGACTTTACTGCTCCACAAAACTTTTAACCCAACGGAAAGAAAAAGCAGAACAAAAAATGACCCTAACAGAATAACATGTTAACTGCCGTCAACAAAACACTGTACAACTAACGCGGACTTTGGCTTCGACTTCTGGAGTTGGAAGGTCAACTACCAAGGTTAGTGGTTCCCCAAAGATATGACCGAGACGTCAGATAGCTGGTGGTCACGTGCAGAACTAAGAACATTCTAGAACGTTCGAATTCGATGCGATAATCGTTAATAATCGATTAATCGCTAAAATAGTGGATTTTCCAGATAGTTCTTACTTTCGCCCGACACATTCCCACTTGAGATATCGTCCGTATACGATGAAAGCCTAGGATAAACTTGCAGTCTTAAAGGGCAATGTTCTCTGCATGTGGGTTTATTTCCTTTGCAAAAGTGCTCGAGAACTAGGTTCCGATATCCGTGTTCTGGATTCCTTGCTCGACTGTGAGCAGTCGTTCACGGCTACCTTCGGCAAGTTGAAGCTTTCCACCAAGAAGTCGAACGAGAGGTCAGTAAGCCACGCTTGTCCTGGTTGGCACAGTGTTGGCCGGAACTGGTTTGCATGCCGTGCTCAAATTCGTGCGTCTACGATCACGTCCTACATAACATTTCCGCGCATGTTTTTGACCGCCCCTGGCGTCCACTTCGCGTGGAGTTTCCGATAGTCGTCTACCAACACTGTCCAATTTTAGACGATCGTTTTTTGTTCCATGCCGCCGGTTGAAATCCAGCTCTATTCTGAGGTTTCTCTCACCAATGAAGGATTCAGAGCGCGGTCGGATGGCGCCGAAAGGCATGAACAGCTTCCGGTTCATCACAGCCTGTGCTGGAGAAACTACGTCCGGCGCTTCTGGATTCGGTGTTTATCGGTAGAGAAAAAGGAACCGGTCAACCACCTCCTCTATACCTCCCTCCCATTTTAACTTGTGGAGAGCTCGCTCGACCGTATCGACAAACCTTTCTGCCTGGCCATTCGACTGTGGGTGAATGCGAATGCGCTGGACAGCGCACTGCTTACAGAACTCCGTAAAAGTTTCCGAAGTGAATTGTGTGCCGTTGTCAGTTACAATTGCCTCAGGACAACCGAATCTGCCGAAGGTTGGGCACAGTCTTGATACAGTGGCATTGGTAGTTGTGCTATCCATGAGAAAAACTTCAGGCCACTTGCTGTCTGAGTCGATTATACTGAGGAAACTTCTGTCGTTGATCGGTCCTGCAAAGTCGACATGGATGCGGCACCATGGTTTATTAGCTTTTGGCCATGAATAGAGCTATGGTTTTTGTGGCGCTTTCAATACATTGGCGCACTTTTGGCAGCAAGTAACTATTTCTTCCAGCTGCTCGTCCATGAAAGGCCAGTATATATAATTGCAGGGAAGCGCCTTCATCCGGTTGAGCCCAGAATACCCGGCGTGGAACTGTCGAATAAGGCGTTCATGAAGGGCCTTGCGGATGACCACTTTTTCCGAAAATAGTATACAGTCGTTCACAATAGAGAGCGAATGTCTCCTCTGAAAGTACGGTTGCAACTCGACAGACGGACATGAAGGTGGTCAATTTGTTTTGTGAAACTGTATAACTTTCTTGGGTACTGGGTCCCGAAGCGTTTCAGCTTCTGTGGTAACTAGTAGACGGTGCAATACATCACTTACCAGATAGTTGACGCCAGGTTCGATCTCGACCGAAGCAATGATTGTGTCCTCATGCTCTTGCTGGTGGGCATCAATTAACCGTGACAGTGCATCCGCTTGGCCAATGGAAATTGTCGACCGGTAGTGGATCGCGAAACCATACTCATTAAGGTAAGAGCCCAATGTTGTAGCCGGTTGGCTGGGTAGGCCGGGATGCCCTTTTTCAAACCAAAAATAGCCAGCAAGGGCTTGTGATCTGTCAGAAGCTTGAAGCGGTGGCCGTTCAGCATATTATGGAATTTCTTGACCGGGAACGCTCTTGTCAATGCTTCTTCCTCGATCTGACTGTAATTCCTCTCGGCCTTCGTAAGTGTTCTGGCGGCGTGGGCGATTGCTTTCTGAGATCCATCGGAGTACCTGTGCGAAAGTACTGCACCAATTCCATGGCCTGATGCATCTGGGGCTAGGACAATCCCTTTGGAGGGATTAAAATGAGTCAAAAACTAGTTTGAGGACAGTAATGTCTTGACCCGTTCGACGGCAAGGGGAACGCAGGCGTTGGATCTCAGGCAAGGATGCGCTGTAGTGGCTGATGAGTCCGCAAAAGGAACGCAAGGACTGTAGATCCGTTGATGGAGGTATTTTTTCTAATGGTTTTAGGTTTTCTGGACCTGGTCGACGTCCAAGGATAAAACTGAGATATTTGATGATCGGCGTGAGAAAGGTACATTTATCCTCACGAATCCGGAAACCGTACGACTGTATATAACCAAGCACTTCATCCAAACGGTTAAATAGCTTCCGGTTTTCGACCCATCACTATGATATCATCCAGATATGCAGCGGCTCCAGAAGCCCGCTAGCATGGTATCCAATAACCGTTGGAAAATGGCTGGCCTCGTTTTTACACCAAATGGCAAGTGGTCATGTTGGAATAGCCCACGATGAGTGTTGATCGTCAAAAACTCCCTCAAGACTTCATCAACGTCCACTTGAAAGTGTTCATCGGATAGATCAAACTTAGCAAAGCACTTACCACCATTCAATTTTGCAAAGATATCTTCCAGTACGTGTAATGGGTACTGGTGGTCATCCAGTGCGACTTTGAGGCCAGTTGAAAAGTCAGCGCAAACACGTACCTTGCCAATCGCTTTCTTCACTGCGACAATAGGTGCGGCCCATGATGAGTAGTTGACGGCTGTGATGACTCCGGCACGTTCCAGTCGATGGAGTTCTTGATCAACGGTTGACATGGCTGCATATGATACCGGTCTTTTAGCCTTGAACACCGGTGAAACACCTGGTCGCAAGCTCAGCTTTGCCTTGGATTTCGTACAATGCCCCAAACCATCCTGAAAGACAGAGGCAAATTTCGTTTCACGGTACGTGTCACGTCTTTGACGGACTTAGATGATGGGTCTGGACTTGCTCGAACTCGCTTGCAGATCTGATTCAAGGGAATATCAAGGAGTAGCAACTTTTCAATCCAGTCTGAAAATGCAGCACGTTCCCGACTTTTGCACACCTTTGAAAGCAATCTTGCAATTAAGTACGCCCACTAAGTTTAACACACCGCCGGATGCATTATATGCAACTTTCTTAGACTGGATCATATTTAGCCACTTTTTGTGATTCCATGTGCTCCTGAAAATATTTGTGATGTCCGAGGACGTGTCAAATTGCAGTTTCGTTGGGATCCCATTGATCAACGCCTTGATAAGTCGTCGTCGTCCCGGTTTACACTCACTTTGGAACGCGGCAACTATGGACTGTGACTCTGCGCCATCCTTCCTAGAATTCCGCTTCTTCATTTGCTTCGACCGGACCTGACTGCAGAAGTTTTCCTTATGCCCACGCTTATGGCACGTTTGACAAAGATGGAGTTTGAACAGATAAAAGCGCGCGAAATGTCATTCATCGCATGACCAGCATGCTGTGGGCGGTTTGTTCGTAGACCTCTTGAATGGCTTGCTTGAGTTGACAGTCCTGGTCTTTACCGCGAAGTGCACGGTAACAGGTGGTCCGAGACCATTCTGTTCGAGCAGGGCAGTGTCGTGTAGTAGAGTGAGCAGCCGTTTGCATTCGCTTAAGAGGGCTTTCAGTGTCAGATCAGGATCGTGCTCCAGGTCAGCTAAAAGCTGCGTGTGGAACACATCACTGATGGACTGGAGAGCGCTGACGAAAATGAAACATTTAAGCTGATCGTCCGTTAAAGAGCGTATCTTGAAACGCTCACACTCACGGTTAATCATGTCTGCTAAGGCCCCAAAGTCGCGCGATCCCTGTTTGACAATATTCAGGCATTGATAGCAAAGGCTAAACAAGGATATTGATTCACCAAAAATTTGCTTCAGCTACGACACTGCCTTGTCAAACGTCAGATCCTTCGGCTGTTTGGGCAGAATGTGATCTATGAACCTCGAATGTTCACTTGTTCAGAGCTTGCGGAGTAGCAATCGCACCTTCCAGGAGTCGTCCTGACGAATGAAATCCGTCTGGAACAGGTCTTCCCCAGCGCTTGAAGCACGCTTCGAACGTGTATCCAGATTCCGAGTCATAATTGAATTCAGTGATTGCATTCGTGAGAAGTTCAACGGAACTCGCCTGCATGTCTCGCGTCTCTGCGCCTGTTGTCTACAAACCCAAGCATCTTATCAGACATTCGATCAATTTCATTTGTGCCTCCATTTGAGATTGCTGTTTGAAAAGCAGCTGTTGATATTGTTCAGTAGAAAAATTCGTCACATTTCCAATTTCCTCCGTCGCTATTTGTTATAATCTTCTCACCAGACGCGATTCCGAAACAGGCACTTTACTGCTCTACTAAACTTCTAACCCAACCGTAGGAAAAAGCGGAACACCAGTGAGCTTGACAAAATAACGTGTTAACATCCGTCAATAAAACACTGCACAACTGCCGCGGACTGTGGCTGTAGTTATAGGTCTGTTCGACTTCTGGAGTTGGAAGATCAATTAGCAAGGTTAGTGGTTTCCTATAGATATGACCGAGATGTCAGGTGATTGGTAGTCACGTGCAGAACTTAGAACATTCCAGAACGTTCGGAATCGATGTGACAATCGTTAATAATCGAGTAATCGCTAAAATAGTGGACTTTCCAAGCAATTCTTAGTTTTTAACGGACATCTGACTTGTAACCCGGGTGTCACTACCGGCCCGAGTGTGCTTAAGAGACCAAGTGATCGTCGCAGTATCATTAGCTAACGTGCGACTGGTGGCGGTTGCGTGGCAGCGAAGTGTCAGTGCGGTGTACCGGCTCGAACTCCACCTTCATCCATGTAGACTAATTCATGACCTAACCTCATTGCCGGCCATAAGGATCATAAGCCTGCCTTTTACTTCGAGGACGCGGTTCAAGCCCTGTGCAGGGACCAGGCGACCCTCATAGTATCATTAACACACGCGCGACTGGTAGCGGTTCCGTTGCAGCGAGGATGCGGTACAGCGTACCGGCGTACTGCCAAACCCTTGCATTTCGAATCCGCGCCCTCGAATTACAAGGCAGTTTGTGATCCTTTAGGCTACGGGCCGGTAATGAAGTTAGGTCAGAAATTGATGACCCCTAATATGTGTCCATCAATATGACTTGGATGGATGAAGATCCAATGGGAATGGAGAGGTTAAAAAGCATCGGTAAACATAACATCTCACTGAACATTCGCGTGCGATGACATCAAACGTTGTAATTTGGTGCTCACATTGACATTTGTGAAATCGAACTTGAGGCCTCATTAAGTTGGTGTCAAGAGTCAGTTGCTTGGGTGAGTTGGATACTAGAGTGACGATGCTTGAGTCTACCAGTACCGAACAAAGCAGGTTCAAAAGTGCTCAATAATGACGAGTTGGTGATTATCGAGAATAAGCGTATCCCTGGATGTGGATGATGGAGCTGTGTTGCCCTCCGAACTGGATGCTTTAGCTTCAAACGAGTTGTTAATAGTGAAACTTTCCTGGAAGCCGCTCTGCCTAGCCTGATAATGAGACGTTTGCAGCTGATAACCACCATAGAGATCAACCCAACACTCTCAGAATAACTACTAGCAGGTCGTTGCGTAGATTAGTGATGGGTGATAAACTGGAATCAGGGACCAATAAAACTCACACAAAGCATATCCCAATGGGCAATGTCAGAAAGTGTCTGGTCACAGGTGACCACCATGGCTGAGATACAAGAGGTTTGTAGACCAGGACCGTCCATCCAATCTGGCCAAGCCCTAGTTTGATTCCAGCGCGGCAAACGATGAGTGTCAAACCCGGGTGCTCAACCGCATGGTGTTTGGTGGAAGTGTATTTCATTAGGGCATGGGTAACGTTCCAGTACCCCTGGCACATGGGATAACAGGTGGACTAGGTTCCTTCTTTGAGCGTGCATGTGGTGGTTCTCGAGGTTAAGGTGCAGTCGAAGGCAACAGAGTCAAAAGGACTCCTTCGGTCTAGGAACTATCGGATGAATGTGAACAGTGACAGCGAATGAAACAGACGAAGCAACCGCCGCTTTTCGAAGGATGCTGCTGGTGGTACACCACAGCACGTTGGATATCTTTTACAGGAAGCATCGCATGTGCGCAGAACAGCAATACGGACCATTTACCTGATCATGAAAGAACACAGTCACTTCGGGTATGGGAAATCCACCACCGGCAATGAGGAGGGCGCCGAGAAAGTTATTCCAGCCATCACTGCGGAACTCAAAGATTGGCAACTGCGATCCGGTCAGAATCACCGGTTTGCCCAAATGCTCCAACATAAAGCTGAGCGCCGCCGCTGTGTACGCCAGTGTGTCGGTGCCGTGTAGAATGATAAATCCATCGAAATGATCGTAGTACGTTTCAATGTCACGTGCAATACGGACCCAGTCGTCCATCGTCATATCGGATGAGTCCAACAGTGGAGTGTACTCAGCAATGGAGTAGAAAATGCGACGTCCCTCTTTAGTGGGTGGCAGCACGAAGGTGGTGTTGGAACTGCAGAAGCGCGACTCCAGCGGTAGGGTGGATGACCGGAATCGTTCATCATCTGCAATTGACCGTGACAGGGACCGGAGACGAAGGTGGGAGGAAGAACTTCCAGTGGGTCGTAGATAACTGGAGGAAAGTAAAGCGTAATTGACCGAGCATATGATGCATAAACAAAGGTAAACAGAATAGGTCATCATCAGAAACCCAGACGTCCAATGATGTCATAAGTATCGGCGGTACACTCAATGTACAAATGCATCGCAGCCGTTTATTAAGTGTGGTAGATGAATCACAACTGCCAGCCGGATGCGCTCACTTCCGTCATTGGTTGTCTACATGTGTGCGTGTGAAGGTCTGCCTATCGCTCACCAACTCATTGGTGAACTGTTCTCCTCTACATACTCCTTGTCATAATGCACGGCATGCGATCAGATTGGCGTGTACTGGTGCTTCTACGTCGGTTCGGTTAAGCAAGCGAAAATTGCTTTCACAACTCTAGCGCTCGTGACGCACGAGTAGATTGTAACAGTAAGTCGAAGAGGAAAGGTAGACACCATGGAACCATTCGGTGACGTTAGGCAAGTAACAGCTAATCGGGTGCGTGTGCGGAGGTTTTGGTGAAAACGACGGTCATTTGTGGGAGAAAGTAACACACGGTCCAAGAACACTCATCAGTCGCATGCACCATTACAAGCGGTGCCTGCATGTCGCGATACTGTCAGATGTGTTATACCATGGAGTTAAAGTTACGGCACGGCATCCGGGTCTAAATTCGACTGTAATTGGGACGGCGAACAGTCACAAGACGCGCGCGCGAATCTGCACAACAAAAATTGTGGGTGCCCAATCTTAATGAGGATCGAGGAATCCAAAGAGGAACGGATGAACTGACATTTTCCGCTTGGTTCAACACGTATTTGTCAACTGAACTAGAGCGGCGCCCTGCGACTGCACTTGAGTTGAAGCTAGAAGACAAGTGACCAGTGAAGAAACTCGGGGAGGGCCAAGAATTGGTGGATTGAAAACAGGGGAATTAAACGTTGGTAGGGTACGATAAGGGTGAAAAAACGCGAGAAGAGGGATAAGAAGACGAGGCCTGAGCGGTAGCATCCAAACTCCTATTCATCCTGATCGATGCAGCAGATAGGGCGCCGTTGATTATCCTCTGCGACGGCCAGAGTATAAAGAGATCGTGTGAAGTTCATGGAGTTGTATTGCGTGGGCATGATACTGTCAGGTTGGCAGACCCAGACAGGAGGACTATTAGGGTTATAAATCAAAGGTTTTGATCCAAAAATATACCGCAAGGCAGTTGGGTCTCGGCACTGGACTACAGAGAGTCCGTTTTATGGAGTAAGAACCCACCCTCACTTCAACAACCAACCTGGTTGGCTACCCGTTGAACAACCCTTATCTTTAGCAGCTCGCCTCATATGAAGTGCGAACATAAAGAAATAAGCATCAGAGAAGTGGGGATGGGAGCCACGGTTGATTCGGAACAGATCAATGGTCCTACAAAGCGCTGATGTAGAATAAGTGAGAACACGTGCATCAATAGCTTACCAGCAGCCCGCCCATCACAGGACTAATGTTTGGGGCCAGCAGTGTCACAAATCCAACAAGCCGCTGGATGATAGGCTGATGGAAACAGCAACATGCAGATAGTTTCTATTACAAGACAGCAATGGCTTGCCACTCACAAACAAGCCTTCTGAGGAGACAACAAGACATTGGTAAACCGACCAAGGGTGGGGAGTAAACGATGCCAGGCTCTATGAGTATGCGAGAGGTAACACATGACCACAGTATTCGAGTCGACAGTAGATAAGATTTGGACTATCAACAACACAAGTAGCGCTATGTCTCGTGCAATTGGCACCAGTGAAGAACACACCGAGTTTGTCTCTTCGGCAGACCACTGTGAGGACAGTAGACTTCAAAGCTGAGCCTCGGTGGTTCATTCAGCAAACGAAGTGCAACTTCTAGGTGGGTAGCTGGCATGCCGAACACCCTCTTCGTGGTGCCAACTGGGTGGTTGGGGAATATCTCGATCTAGCGTATGGTTCGGCGGCAGTCTTCCAGGACGTGGTGGGTTTTCGCCTGGAAGTATTAGGCCTCTGTTTGATAGCCAAACGAAAGACGTATGAACCGAACAATCAGTCACCGGCTCCCAATGGGCGTGATTCCCTGAATTCGCCCCACTGCCTTGAGAGTCAGGTCCCTATGACCAAGGTTCCGGGTGAGCCCTTCTAAGTCAACCCCCTGGGCAACCGGGAAGCTGTATGCCCATACAACATATGAAATGATGGATTTAAAACACTCTGCTCACGTTTCCCGCTCTCTGAACTCTCCGTCTTTGGCCAGGGTGCAGGCGGCCAGGCACGCTAAACGTCACTCTACCGCACCACAAACCATGTTCTTCGTTCCACGTTTATTCAATCATCGTGTTCTTAGCAACCTTCCTTCAAGTTCGAGTCTCCAAAACTGCATCGCAAATAAGAATGGTACCCTTGGCCTCATCAATGAACCGCTCAAAACTGATCGCACACATTCCAATACCAACAGCAAGGCTTTTATAGCACGCGCTCACTCTTCAAACAAGCTACGTTCAATGTTCAGACGCTCATGCAGATTGGTTCTCAAGCCGCTCTTGCGTGCACCTTGGAAACCCTCTCAACCAACGTTTGCTGCCTAATCGAAACCAGTTTACAAGATTCCAGCACGACGCTGCGATTGCTCTCGCCCTCTCCAAGTTCCAATCGCACGTTCACCTTGCGCTTATCTGGAGATGCGAAAGCGGCAGTCTCTGTTTGCGCCGGCGTAGGAGTTGCACTAAGCGTGCGTACTGAAGCCGCGCTCATTGACTGGTTCCCGGTCAATACTCGTCTTCTTGCATTCCGATTGAAAATTCAGTGCGATCTTCCAGCCACGGGATCAGTAAGCGCTGCTTATTCATTGTAGCGGCGTACGCTTCAACGGACTGCAGTCCGGATGAAGCTAAAGACGAGTTCTACCGCCAACGCACCGATCACCTCCGTAAGAAACGCCGCACGGACATCGTGATACTCGCCGGTGACCTAAATGCATAGGTCGGTAGACTAGAGATTCATGACCGCGAACCTGGGGGTCAACACAGACACGGTACTCGCAGGACGGACAATGGCAATCGACTACTTCAACTGTGTGACGACCACGGCTTGTTCCTCTCCAGCACTGATATCTGACATTCCTGGTGCCAACGAGCCACCTGGAGACCTAAGGCGCCTGGTCTATCTTGGACGCAAATTGACCACCTCGCTGTTAGTTACGTTAACAACGCTGCATAATGGACTGCAAGTTAATTTGGAACACTTACCTGACTTCGGATCATGCGATCGTGTGTGCTAAGTTCGTTCTGCGCTTTGGAGGCACAAAACAGCGTCGCCGGAAACGGTTTGACACAGACAAGCTCGCCGTCCCAAGTGTTCTCGGCGCAGTTCAGAGCACATTAGCCTCCAACCTATGTTCTCTAACCTCCGATGTTGAGAAACACTGGGCACAGAGGCAGAGCGAATTATGAAAGTCCGCTACCCTGGTCTGTGACTTCACTAGACGAGCTGCTATGCATTGGATCTCCACATAGTCTCTCCAATTAATGGAAAGTTGTTAAACGATTCTCGCCGGAGTTAAGTACAACGCACTACGCAGAACCACAGGTGTTGAGCTTAGACAGGTCCTCAAGAAGCATCGCGAGGTTTGGTGGACGCAGCGTGTCGTAGAGATGGAGCGCGCAGCCGCATCCGGAAACTCACGCAAACTCTTCCAACTTATTCGCTCCACGGGAGACAGAAGACCAACAGTAAGTGAAGTTTTGTGTGGAAATGACGGTGAACTAATTCACAGTTGTCTGGTACGATGGGCAGAGCATTTTGAAGATCAATTCAACTGGCCAGCAGCGCAACCGAGTCTATCTGCCGCGGTTCACATTGCTCCCTAGTGCGTAGATGTTTCTCCGCCGGCAGAGACCGAGGTTTCCAATGAGTTTCGCCTACTAAAGCGCCATAAGTCACCTGTCCCAGATGAACTTCCTCCTGCCCTCTTCAAATATGGTGGTCCTGCTTTCACTCGCGAACTGAAAGCGCTATTCCATCAGATTTGGACTACTGAAACCTTTCCATCCGATTGGAATTTAGCGGATGATGTACCTGTTTACAATAAGGAGACCGACCATTCGCTCTAACCATCGTGGCATCAGTCTCATTTGTGTCGCATCCAAAGTGCTCACTGCCCTACTCTTGCGGAGGCTCAGTTTCGTACGGTAACAGCACCTGCATGAACAACAAGCTGGATTTCGCCCGGGTCGCAGTTGCGTCGAGCACAACTTTACGATCCGCCAGATACTTGAACATCGCCATACGTTCAGTCGACCAACTATAGTCATATTCTTGAACATTCGAGCAGCTTTTGACTCACTTGATAGTGGCTCTTTGGGATTGCTTACTGGAGAGGGGAGTACTTGAGAAGTACATCAGCATTATCCGTGCTATTTACCATCTAACTTCCTTCCGCGTGCGAACGTACGGAGAAAGTTCGCCCCCTTTCAATATCACTAGCGGTGTTAGACAGGGTTGCTCAGCTTCTCCATTCTTGTTCAACTTCGACATAGACGAGAGCCTGGATACTGCCCTGGATAACTCTGAGTCTTGCTGTGTTGAACTGCTCCTTGTTGACAGCCTTCGGGAATTCGACTACGCCGATGACATCGCTGTGATTTGCGAGTCCTCCGAAGCCGCCCAGCATGTGCTGCTGAGACTGGAGACGTCCGCCGCCCAATTCCGGTTGAGCTTTGCCCCTTCCAAATGTAACGTCTTATTACAGGACGGACCAAGCGTATGTCCTCTCACCCTTTCGGGACATCAGTTGGAAGTGGTCGACAAATGCATTTGTCGTGGGAGTTCTCTTAGTATTCGCAGTTTGACAGATGAGATCCCCCTGAGTGTCTCCAAGGATGGAGTTGCTTTCGCTAACTTTCGTTAGCTGTGGCTCCGTCGTGACCTCAGCCTCGCTCACAAAAGACGAGTTTACAACGCTACGGTACGAGTGATTCGGCTGTACAGCTGTGAGACTTGGCCCGTTCGCAAACGTGA